ATAAAACAGAAGAACACCTGATAAATGGGACACAATGTAATTAACTTTGTTCATCAGAATATCACTGTGAAAGATAGCTTTAGAGGGATAGAAGATATTTGTAAACCATATAATAAGAAAAGGCCCTTATTTGAAATATTTAAAGAACTCTTTTAAATCAATAGAAAAAGACGAAATCCAGTAAAGGGGCAAGGGCAAATATTTCATAAAGGATACATCTAATGGCAAATAATATACAAAAATTAAAATTAAACCTCGGTGATATCCTGCTATACACCCGTCAGAATCACTGAAGGTAAAAAACCAGATAAGCACAGGTAAGGCTATGGAGTCACAGGAACTCACACTCTGTGGATGGGAGTGTAAACTGGTAACACCACTGAGGAAACCAGTCTGGCCTTGCTACTCAAGTTGAAAATCCATGTGTTCCCAATAATTTAGCAGTTCCACTCCTTCAGTGTAGCTCCAGAATAAACTTGTTACATATGCACCGGGAGGCACGTACAAGAATATTTATTGATAGCTTTGTTGTTTGCAAAAGCTTTCCAAAACTCCAAACTTAGCAACAAAACTCTCCACAAACTGTGAAAATAGATAGTGTAATATTTGTAGAGAATACTGTATATCAGTGAAATTGGATCAACTCCAGGTACATGCAACTCTGCAGCTGAGTCTTTGAAATATTAAGCTGAACCAAGGAAGCCAGTTACAAAATGATACATCTTGCCTAATTCCATACAACACTAAGCAAAAAACTTTCTTGTATGTTTCTACTTGCATAAAGTTAAAAAAACAGGCAAAGATGGTGCTTGGGGATTTATAATTAGAAGTTAGGGTGTTAGAGGAAATTGGCAGTTATTTAAAACACAGCACAGCTCCGAGGGAATGACTTGTTTATAACTTGTTTTTTTTTTTTCTTTGCTTCTGTAAGCTGCTTGCCCCTGCGCGACAGAGATAACAACGTTTTGCTTTTACTTCTGTAAACTGCTTCTTGCTTTCGCGCCAGAAGTACTGGTCTGAGTGACAGACCGCCCCTCATCCTATATAAGCAATTGCTCCCCGCTGATGGGGGCCCAGAATTTGGAGACTGTCTCCTCTGGGTCTGCCTGCGAAATAAAAGTTCCACTTGGCTTCCTCCAGTGTTCGGTCTGAGTCTTTCCCGTAACAAGGGTGTAAAGCAAGGCAGGAAAGTAATTACCATAAAGCTGGGGTGGCTGTGATGCTGGGGGAGGAAGGCCGTTAGGACAGAATGCCTGTGGTGGGGGCCTCCGGCCTGAGGGAGGGCAATATCCTGTTTCTTAACCTGGGTGACGCTTTATAATAATTTGTGTATTTGGTTCTGTGCGTTTTTCTGCATGTCATTTTTCACAATAAAAAACTTTTTTTTAAATAAAAAAGTTCTCTGCCTACAACCCCAGTCTTGCCTACCCTGAGCCTGTCTCTCTGCCCTCCCCATGGTTCTCTCAGCCAAAGGAATGTCCCTTCTCTTCATATTGTCTCCAGTCTCTTAATTCCCACTCATAACACACAGAGCCTCTTCTCGCTCCCCCAGGGTCATCAGTAATTGGCAAATCAAATGAACTTATTCTGTGTGCCGCTCTGTTCTCCAGAGGAGGTTTTGCTATTGACCTTGTAGCTCTCTTTCTCCTTGGCTTCCCCCTGACCCTTCCCTCTGACTCCCCTCTCCTTCAACACTGGTGCTTCCCAGCTGTCCCTTCCTGTAGTCTATCCACATCCATGGCCCATCTCTGTGCTAACAGCCCAATGGGTGATGTCCCCTTCCAGGCTCCAGGTGCAACTCTGCGTACTTCATCTTCATCTTTATCTAGATGTGGGAAATCATCTGACTTTCAACCCATAAGCCTCAAAATGAACTCATTCTCTTCCTCTCTCCAACCCTATTCCTGGATTTCCTATCTGAAGAAACTTCCAAAGTTGACATCTCAAACTAGAGATGTTGACTCACCACTCTCCTTAACCTGGGCCCAGTTCCAACAGCTACTATTATTATTATGTTCATTCTCTGTGCTAGGCTCCTGTTAGGACCCGCTGTTTCTACCCCCTGCAAACCCTAATGTTAAATCCCTGATTCCCAGTGTGATATTGGGAGGTGGACAATTTGGGAGGTGATTACATGTTGAGGGTAAAGCCCTCCTGAATAGAATTAGTGCTCTTATAAAAGAGGCCCCGGAGAGCTCTCTTACACCTTTGTCTATGTGAGGACACAACAAGGAGACAGCTGTCTCTGAGGAGGTGGGTTCTCACTAGATCTGAAATCTGCAGGTCCCTTAATCTTAGACTTCGGAACTGTGAGAAAGAAATGTCTGTTTATAAGCCACACAGTCTGCAATATTTTGTTAGACAGCTTTCACAGACTAAGACCAAACTGTGTTTTTTTGCATTTATCAATTTTTTACATGTATGACATGCGTTTTAGAAAGTTACATTAGCTTACTTAATTCTTTTAACAACCCTGACATAGGATATTATTATTCTTCCTTACTGAGAAGAAAATAACCGAATCTTTAGAGCCTGCAGCTCTTGCTCCCAACTCCCATCAATTCCAGTGCTGAAAGCTCCTTATCAGAAGTTGGAACCCACCCCGACCCCCAGCACTGGTTTCTGCTTTGGACTGTTATACCAAACACATAATTCCCACCCCCCACACCCCTCCCTCCATTTCTGTCCCCCTTCAACAGGGACAGTAGAGCACTCAAAAAAGCAAACGTTTGATAATGCTAATTCCGATTGATTATTTTTTCAGATGCCTCAGCACATGCAGAGGCCATGGAATCCAATGCCAGCCAGCCCTCCCCCTTCCCTCCCCCCACCCCCACCTTCACATCTTCTTGCCCCGGCACCCACGCTTCCAGACCCCTGGGCCTGCGCACAGACTGTTCTTTCTGCTTGCGATGCTCTGCTGACAGCCCTGCCTGTTCAACTGCAGAGTCCCAGCCCACCGGGTAAGCCCCGTCTGATGGGCTCTATCCCTCTGTGGTGCTCACAGACCCAGTCAGCCCAGCTCCACCTTCGTTTACTTCAAGGGATTTGGTGCCAACCCCCAGGGTTATTTTCTGCTTTTGTTTTTTTATCACATTATATTGTAATTACAGTTGCTTATTTGTTTCTGTCTGCCCTGTTCTTTGAGGGTCAGAATCATGTATTATTCCTTCTTGAGTTGGGATCTCTTCCCAGGGATGACCATATCTGGAGGATGGTTCACGGTTCTGCTGAGTAAACACACATCCCTGGAAATTCTTGTTGAAAAACCAGCATTGGAAGAAATAACCTGGCCAGTGCTGGTTGGGGTTGGCGTGCAGTGCTCTGCTGGGGCTGAGATGCCCTGCTCTGTACCCTGAGGCCAGGGGGGCGCTCTGTTTTGATAGAAGAGAGTGAAGGATAGAAAATGGGGCCATGGCTGGTGTGTCCTCCTCACGGACTGAGCAGCCTGGTGCTCCTGACCTTTCTCTGCAGCAGACACCTTTGTTTTCTGTCACATTCACTTTGTCTCCTTATCCCATTCCATCCCTTTTGTTCTCTTGCATCTTAAATTGGCCTTCTGCTTTACCCTTTTCTCATTTAACCCTTAGAAGGTGATAAAGATCTGACACCCCCAAAAATAGGCCATACGTTCTTTCGGCATAAGAATTTTTTGAGTTAAAGACATCTGAGAAATAGCAGACGGAGAAAGAGCTATTTTCTCCTTCTCTATCTGCCCCCAAACAGGGCATACGTTTCCCTGGTGCATGTGCCCCCCTCTCCCCACCAGAAAGAGGTGAAAGACACCAGTGGAAGGAGAGCTGACATGGAGTAAGGCTGCAGGAACACCTCACCAACACACCTACTCTTCCATTAGTTCCCTCCACATATTTCCCAGTTTCCCACAATTTATTGGCCCTAGATGCCCAGCTTCTCTTTTCCTTGTTCAGTCACTTCACATTTACTTGTTCTTTGTTAAAATGGTATATAAGCCCCTGAGTCTTACTGTTTCTTTGAGTTTTTCACTTCTTTTCTATAAAGACCGGTGCAGGTAAAGTTGAAAATATTAATTAAATATGTATGCTTCTTTTCCTGTAAATCTGTCACTGGTCCGTTTAATTCACAGGCCACAGGAACTGAATCTAAGAGGGCAGAGAAAACATTTCCCCTCCCCCCACACTTACAGCCTGTGGGACAAGCACTGCTGGGACCATGTGAGGGTGGCTGGACTGGGGCCCAGGAAGTTTTGACAGCTTGTGTGTGGAGGAGCCCTTTTGACACAGGACCTGTGTCAAAGCCCTTTCACCTGTGTTCCTATTCTGCCAGTGCCTGAAAGTTTGTTTTGGCTGTTTAGTGACTCTGAAGTCCAAGCAATTCAGGCTCCCATGTTGAATGTCAGCTCAGAAAAGGAAGCACACTTAGAGACAGCACTGAAAAATCCCCAGACTTGACCCAGTCAGAGCATTCTAGTGTCTGCCAGTGATGGGGCTGTCTGGCATCCAGTCCTGGGCCACGCAGCATTAATCACTCAGTGAGTTTTGGTTGATGACATGAGACTGGTTTGCATAACCCAGCTGCACTCGGGTAGGCGCCCAGGCCACCATCGGACAGAACTCTGGGACCCGGATTAAGAGAAAGAAACCCTAGGGGCTTCTAGATCAGAATTCTCCCTATCCTTTCTTTCTCACCCAGTCTGCAGGTAAACACTGTATCCCTGCCTGTAGTTAATGAGATGAAAGCAGAAGATAGATAGTCTGCTTCTAAGAGGCAGGACCAGTTAGGGATCTAAATAGGTTCTGGTTAAAAGACTTTTCTGGTTTGTCAACCCAAGAAGGAAAGAAGAAAAAAAAACCACCCCAAAACAAAACAACAAACAAACAAACAGGCTTAAAGGATGCTATTAAAAACCTTATTGGGTTTCAATAATCCCACTGCTTTAGTTAAGAAAGTTGCCAAGGAGGCAAGGAAAGAAGATTCTTTCCATTTACTTGGTCCTGAAAATAAATGAAACTTCTGCTCACCTGGAAGCGAGTGTTCATGTAGTCTTCAGCTTCAGAGGTGGTCACATTCTTCAGCTCCATGAGCTCTTTGCTGCTCTTGGAACTCTCTGGTCTCTGAATTCCTGTCTGATGTCTGGAAACGAACACAGCCTCTGCTGATGTCAGGCCACCTACTGTTGGAGAAACCTGGGCAGTGCTTCAGTTTGGAAATGTCAGGACAGATGTCCTCACTGGGGCGGGGCAGGGAAGGAGGGTTGGGTGGAGGCTCTCAGTTCAGGTCCACCCACCTCATTAATCTTTCCTATTTCCCCATGATTGCCCGCCCATTTTCACTCCAGGGGAAAAACTCATGTCCTGCACAAAACACAACAGGACACTCTCTTTATGTCCCTGAGTGAAATAATCTGTTTCCTGTAGGCTGTGTTGGGGACTAGGTGCGGTGGGGGTAGCTGAGGACATAAGAGCTGGCTGCAAATAAGTGACCACCGTGCTGTGTGGGGGGAGATGCTTGGTATTTTATGTATGGTGGTCTTGGTGCATTTTTGGAGCAAGGCAAACTGAGTTGTGGAAGTTGACAATATATTCAGGATCATTTGACCAATAAAAGTGCAAAGAGAAGCTAAATCCAGGTATGGTGGATTCTAAAGCCATTTTCTTCCATCACTATCTGTAGCCTGGGATGCTTTAGAAAATCCAACTCTTAGAAATGCAAATATGTGGCAGATAAATGAAAGGTAACCAACAGCTCACTTATTAAAAGGATTCTTTGCTTTATGAAATTATTGGCTGTTGGATTCTTTCAAAAAGACATTTAAAATGACCTATTATGTATTTGTTGACTATGATAATTGTGTGGGTTATGTGGAAATGTAGAAAATGCTTATGATAGGTGAAAAACTAGAATTAATAGATAGAATACTGCATGCAGTAGACAAAGAATAAAAGAAACTATCAAATATTACCCGTGGTTATTTCTGGGTTGTGGTTTTCTGGGTCATTTGTAGTTTCTCCTATATACTTTGCTGAGTTTTCTGTAAAGAGCACTATATGACAATTATCATGATACAGCCTGCATAGGTACACAGACTCACACACAATGGTTAAGAGCTCGCTGAAACCAGCTCTGGCCAGGTGGCAGTTGGTAGCAGCACTGTCCTGTACACCAAAAGGATGAAGGTTTGATTTTTCAGTCAGAGCACATACCTAGGCTGTGGGTTCAATCCCTGGTCTGGGAACATAAGGGGAGGCAACAAACTGATATTTCTCTCTCACACTGATCTCTCTCTCTCTCTCTCTCTTGTTCCTCCTCTTTCTTTAAAATCAATAAAAACATATCCTCAGGTTAGGATTAGGAAAAAAAAAGAGCTACTGGAACCATCCTGCCTGGGTTCAAGTCCTGGCTCTACCACTTACTGCAGCAAATTATAGCTCAAGAGCTAAACCTAGCCTACTAACACTTTTTGCAACCTGAGAGTTAAGAATTAATTTTATATTTTTAAATGCTTGAAAAAAATCAAAATGGAAAATATTTTGTGACACATGCAAATTACATGAAATTCAAATTTCACTGCCCATAAAACAAATTTTGTTGAAACACAAACATAACCACTCATTTATATATTGTCTTTTGTGGCTATTGCTCCACAAAGGTAGGGCTGGTCAGTTGTGACAGGCTCTATGACTCAAAGGCTAAAATATTCATTTCCTGCTCCTTCACAGAAGCTCTGTGCTGAACCCTGACTTCGTAGCCAAGCGAATTCAGGCAAGTTTCTTTTTCTCTGGGCATCCCATTCCTCATTGATAAAGTGGGAATAATAGGACCCATTTTACACTATGATTGATGATAAATATAACATCCTAAAAAACACATGGAATAATGCCTGGCATATAGTAAATTTGTTGCTTTAAAAGAAGATAAAATGATTTCTACAAAGTTACTTGCATGTGTTTTAGGTCATCTTTCTACCAGAAGCCAGGTACATCAGTAGTTGAGCACATGTTATATTGCATTCACACAAGAATGCATAGCCCCGGGAGAGAAAAAAAGGAAAGAAAAAGGAAAAAAAAAAAAGAATGCATAGCACCCCTTGCTGGGCTAGGGGGGGCAGTCAGTCTTCCCCTAGGTCCTCACCATCCTGGCACTGTGCAAAAGGGGAGTCCTGATTTCTCATTTACGTGATGCTCCTGGACCTCCTGTTCCAAGCTCTCCTCATTGATCAATACCATTCACACATTCTTTTTGCTTTAGATCTTCATCGATTCTTCACTAATTCTTCACTGGTTCTTCACTAATTCTTCACTGATTCTCTGATAAATGGAAACTTTGGAATTTCCATCAGTTCTTTCCCAATAATTGTGATTTGCCAAAATAAGTAGTCACTGTATTACTAATGCAAAAAGTCAGACCAGAAGTGATCAAGAGAGAGGCAGAAAAACTGAAGGCAGGTAATGTGGGAAACTTATACGACAAAACTATTGGAACAAACCACTTGTTGCAACCAGATAGTATAACCTTAGTGAACTCAAGACTCACTCTAGTTTAAGGTTATGGAGGAAACTTACACTCTGGAAGAAATGGGAAATCTTCATTCTGCCATTTATGGTTATTGATAATTATACAAATTTGACTCAAATGCCTGACTTTCTTGTAGATACTGACACATTAAACTTTTATTTACTTACTTTCAGAGAGAAGGTAAGGGAGGGAGAGAAACATAGATGTGAGAGAGAGACTTTAATCAGTTGTCTCTCATACACCCCAACTGGGGACCGAACCTGCAACCCAGATATGTACCCTGACCAGGAATCAGACCAGTGAACCTTTGCTTTGTGAGACAATGCTCAACTAACTGAACTACACTGATCAGGGCTCACGTGAATCTTTTTCTTTAATGATTTTATTTATTTATTTTCAGAGAGAGGAGAAGGGAGAAAGAGAGGGAGAGAAACATCAATGTGCAAGAGAAACATTGATCAGTTGCCTCTCACACACCCCCAGATGGGAACCTGGCCCTCAATCCAGGCATGTGCCCTGACTGGGAATCGAACCCATGGAATTTCAGTTCACAGGCTGGGGCTCAATCCACTGAGCCACACCAGCCAGAGCTCATATGAATCTTTTAAAATGCAACAACCCATTGATTTTTTCAGCCTCTTAATGTAGACAGTAAATTTGAAGATTCCAAGCATTTTGAGAGAATGTCACTGCATGAGCTAGAATGCTGTCCAGTGTTAGGTATTAGGCTAACCAGGGGGATCACTGCACAGATTATATAGATGTCTATCCATTATGGTGTACACATGAAACTAATACAGTATTGACATCAACTGTAATTTAAAAATAAAAAAATTAAATAAAAAATTTTAGAAACCACTGTGCAGTGTTGATTAAAAGACACAGTGACTTGCCCATTCCATTCTGCAAATGTATCTGCTAAAGGAACAAATTGATGAAGGACAAATACCATATGATCTCACCCTTAACAGGAATCCAGTCAACAAAACAAACAAACAAGCAAGATATAACCAAAGATACTGAAATTGAGAACAGGCTGACAGTGAGCAGAGGAGAGAGGGGAGGGAATTTCAGGGGAAGAAGGGAAATGGGGAGGGCTGGGGGGTGGGCTGGGATGGGGTAAAGCACAGAAAACTGTACTTGAAAAACAATTAAAGTAAAATAAAAAAAAAGAACAAAAAGACCTAAAATTAGAGGGAATTGCACATTCAACCATGATACTGAAATGCAGGCAGGATGGTGATATGCAAAGACATTTTAATTAAAATGGTGTTATCTATTCGAAGACTACAGTTGAGAGCCTTTAGAACTAATGAAAATTCAGACTTTCTTTGCAGCATGAGAATTCACTTGATATATGTGGCTATCACTTAAAATGATGGTACCTTGGTAGATGCTATGGCTCAGTTTTTCAATTTGGAAATAGAAATATCATCAGAAAATGAAAGACCCTTTCAACCTTACGAGACACCAAATCCTCAACAAGAATAAGACAAAGAGACATTATGTGCCTCTTGATATGATGTGTTGAGGAGGACATATCATGTCGGTGGTATTCCTGTCCAAAATGCATAACCTGCATCTGACAAGAAAGACGTTAGATCCAAACGAGAGATATTTTACAGCGTAACCGGCCTGTGTTTTCAAAACAGTTAGGGTCACGAAAGACAAAGAAGGCATACAGACCATTCCAAAGGCAGGAGGCCAAAGATAAATGACAAATAAGGGCAACCCACCATCCTGGAGTGGGTCCATTGTTATAGAGGACAATGTAGGAACAATTGGCCAAATTTAAATTTTGGTCATAATACTGTCTCAGTATCAAATTTTCTCATCATGATTACTGTACTATGGTTATGTCCATGAGAAGAACCCAAATCTCTGAAAGTATTAGATGGATTTCTATTCATGCATTGCAGAGGGCTATAGCCTGAGAGCAGAGCTTCAAGAAATTTGAAACGGTGCTCCAACTTTGGAAAAGTGGAGGGTACTTATATAGGCAGAAGAGTAAGTAAAACGTACGTCTGGTGTGTCAGAAGGCTCAATTAGGGTGCATATATTTTAACTATTAGCAGTTTTACAGCAAATGGAAGGAATGTATAGAAAAGAAGAGGTTGAGTCGTGGTGCCCCCTGGTGTCAGGGAGTCTGGGCACAGGGTCTAAAAAGAATTAAACTGCTTTGAAAGGGTAGTTTAATTATTTCCAGATAATTGTTTTTAGCACAGGGATTGAATGGAATAAAATATTAATATTAATTGGGGAGTGTTAAAAAGCAAAAATTTAACTGCAAAGGTGATTTTGTTAGAAAAACAAATCCCAAAGTATTTTTTATTTCAAATACAAATTTAAATTGTTCCCCTTCCTCCCTTAAGATGAGTTTTCACCAGGATGTAGCAAGAACGGGCATCAACTTCTAGAGTTATTAGTGTTGACACCGTAAAAGATTAGGGTGGTGAATACACAATACAGATGATGAATTACAAAATTGTAAAACTGAAACCTGTATCATTTTATCAACCAATGTCACCCCAATAAATTGAATTTAAAAAGTTAAAAAAAAGGAAACTGTCAAAAATATGCATGGCTATCCCCATTGTTCATGCCTTAGTTAGAAATGCTAGGGAAGCTCATTCTTTTCTCCTGGTTATTAATTAAGTTGGAGAAGCTGAAGCACCCTTTCTTTTTTCAGTTATGTAA